TTTTAAATTAACATGTGTGAGTTTGCGTCCGAGCTAACAATGCTAAAAGTAGCTGTCTGAAAGGTGCTGATTGGACCACATTAGACAGACCTCACTTTGGACATGAAGGTCAGCTGACATCTCGTTTCCTGCTTTCATCACGTCGAGCCGACTCTATTCTGGATCTGAAACCGTATCGAGCTGAAACTGATAGTCCTCACACTTTATAGAACAGCTAAGGGCTTGTATATTGCTTACACGTGCACCACAGTGACTATTAAACCCTGTTGATGTGTGTTGTATTGGATCAAAAGTGACAGATGTCCCACACACACACACACACACACACACACACACACACACACACACACACACACACACACACTTCTGCTTTCCACCAGCAGTGTGAGATCCTGGTGTCTCTTTTTCCACTCTGGAAAGATCTGAAATGCTGTGGGTTGGGTAACCGCTGCAGCCTGGGGACCGTCTGCTTCATGTTTCACTGCATTTTATAAATATAACAGCGTCAGGAGGGGTCTTGTGGTGGGAAAATGCACCAGAGCTCCTTGTTTTTTCATTTTGTTACTCTCCAAGTCAAACATTGAAAGGGTTTGGTGTCATCTGCACGATACCTACAGCTTAGCCCTAGGTTCCTTCCACATTTAATATACTTAAGACATTAAAAAAAGTAATATTAGTGCAAGTAAATTGAAATAAAATAAGAAAAAAGTCACTCGTATTGGTTGTAAAACATTCTCTCATATGTCTGGGACCTTTGTTGCTGTTAAAGATATGGTTCTTCTTTCAAACAGTCCTGCACCACACAACCTGAATAAAAACACACACAAAAAGATAGAAGGCAAAACGACAAAAGCTCTCCTTTTTAATTCATTTAAACTCAACCCTTTTTTCTATTAAAAAGTTCAAAAATGCATTTTAAAGTGGCTGCATTAATCTCTGTGTAAGCGTGCCCTATCTTTGGGATAAATGCTATTTAAAGTATTTAATAGAGCAACAAATAGGGACATATTTTGTTGCCAGACATCATTAACTGGCGTTTTAATGATCATTATTGCACGGCTTAGTTGAATAATGGATTCTGATTGGTCAATTTGGACATTCCAAAGGTTGTTCATTCTCACTAATATACCGTTGCTAAGGAGAACAGACCGTCGCTAAGGAGGATCAAGGGACTGTGTGCAGCCGTATCAATCCGCAGAAAGAAGTCCGGTGAATTATGTGAGATGCAGACTTGAGATGTGAATATGTTGGCACTCAGAGAAAGGCTTTTAGAGAATTAGGAGCTGATTACAATTCTGCTCAACACCTTGAAAAGTTCATTGTCATTCATAGATCAACCTCCCATTCCCGTTCTCTGAACAAAGCTTAAAATATCACATTGTCGCTCTCAGACGGCTGATTTATTCCACAGACTGATGACATTTATTTAAGATATTGACAGAGAATCACCCGGAAACTTCTTCACCAGTCCTTCTGTTCTACTTCTACATTAGAGCAGAGGTGGAAGAAGTGTTATGATCCTTTACTTAAAGGGGACCTACGTATCATGCAAAATGCACTTTTTGATGTCTTTTATACATCAACATGTGTCCCCGGTGTGTCAGGGAACTCACGCAGCGTCAGAAAATAAAACCCTCTCTCTTTTCCTCCGTACCCAAATCTCTAAAAACGGGGCTACAACGGAGCTGATCCAGATTTGCGTCCGATATGACGTAATATCGGAAATGTGGACCCACGGCCCTATCAGAAACGTTGCTATCAGAAACAATGCCCGACTGTTTTGGACGTAATATGGTCGGTGTTTACATTAGCATCGCTAACACTCAGAGCTAACCTGTACTGGAGAGCATGTGTGTGAAGAAGCAGGAAATAAAAAGGAACTCACCTTGTGGTATAACCGGCAAGAGAGAAAGCCTTTGAGCTCCATACTGTTTCAGAAATAATCCTTGATAATCCATGATATGGCGTTTCATCACGGCAGTATTTAGTTTAGATGGTAGCTGCCGGGTCCCGCATGAGCTCAGACCCCTCCTCAGCACTTTTGAAACAGGAAGTGAAATAGAGGGATATGAGGCATGGCTACAATGGGTGATCTGTTTGGTATTTTGAGCAAAACACTTCATAGACATGTTTTTTATATATTTGTATATATCTGAGACCTATGCTATTGCCTAAAAATAGCATGATAGGTGACCTTTAAATAGAATAACTAATACTGCACTGTAAAAGTACTCCATTATAAGTAAAAGTACTGCATGTGGAATGGTACTTAAGTGGAAAATGTACTTTAAATATTAGGAGAAGAAGTGCTTGCTGTATTAAATACAAATAAATAAATATTTAAAATGAAAAGCAGGAAATCTTCACATTTGAAAAGCTGGAACTGTTGTGTTTTTACACAAAAGAAAATGTAAAAAAATAATTAAATTGCTCCCAATTCAATTTCTATGAACTCACTCATTGTTTGTGGTGTTCTTAAATAGACCAGTAACAAAAGTCCAAATGATAAGCGCTAAATGAAGGAGATGGACACCTGATTGAGTAAAGAAAACATCCTTTTGTTGACACATTTAGTTTCTTCTTTACACAATAATAAATATAAAATTATGTGTTTCAGCCAAAACCTTCAGAGACATGTTTTGTATCTGAGAGCTGTGATATAAGATACGATAAGAAGTACTTTATTGATCCTAATGTGGCAATGGTTTGCGTTGCAGCAGCATAAAAAGACATGGCATTGTACATTAGAGAAAATAAATATTCAAATAGAATTAAAATAGCAGTAAAAAAGTTGAAAATATGCATATTTAAAGTGACAAAATATACTGTAAAGCAGGATATTATATATACATTAAGTGTGTAAGGAAAGGAATATTACATATTAAATTGAACATAAATGTAAAATGTTCAGTGTGAGTTTAAGTCCAGTTATCCAAGAGAAGCTATATTGTTGAAAAGAGTCAAATAGGAGACCTTTAAAACAATTCAAAATACTTTAATAATCAATCTCGTGGTAATGAAAACCTCAGAGGGCGAAGAAACACCCACTCACTGTTAGTCATCCAAAGAGACGGGAATCAGCCGCGACATTCATGCTCGACAGGAGGTAGTTAAGCTACTTCATAAAAAGAGATGCCTTTAATCATCATGCCTGTAAACAATGGAGAGTAAAGCGTCCAGGTGGCAGAGCTGCTGTGTGTAAGTGTTCTGAGCGGACTGAATGACTCAGGACATGTGAGGGACGCTCACTTGTTGTCGTGAACTGAGTGAACAGAGCCTCTATTCAAAGATCACTCATCACAGCGAAACTCATCCTGAGCACACACAAACACTCACAGCCGAAGTAAAAACAATAAGTGAGGCTTGATATTGAGTAAGAAAAAGGTTTATAACGCTGTGAGAATGGGTCTGCGGAGAGCATTTCTCCGCCATCCCAACTCGTCTATTACCAGCGTTCAGGGAGCTCTATGCAAGTCAATGGGGACTCCCTGTTAGTTAGCCAAGGGATCCTGGTGTGTGAGGTGCTCCACGGATTGGTCCATTTGGGCCAATCCGGTCATTTGTTGTTGATTTGGGTGTTCACACGTCACAGAACCCAGAAAGCAAACAATGGAAAAAGAGAAATCTCCATCGAGGCGTTCTGGGGCAGCATAGACAGGTCTTCTCTGTGTTAGAGTTTTACTCTCTACAGGGTGTACTTTGAGGGTTTGTGACTCTGCAGACCGTTTACATGCAGAAAAACCTTCATAACACACAAGGGGACGGGTAATAACCGGAAAAGCATGACATGGGACCTTTAACTTACAAAACATCTGGTTTGATTTCACGTTACGTCTTCATGCATGATTTTCTCTTTTTTACTCACATGTACTACTAAGTACTGTATGCTAAAGTACACATTTGAAGTACTTCAGTTGAGAATTTTCTTTTAGTGCCACGTTATACTTCTACTCCACTTAATTTCTATATCTTTGTTACAGCCGTAGTTACTTTATAAATTAAGATTCTCACACAAAACGTATAAAAAACATTAAAACACGATGTTTTGATGAAGATTCAACTAAACGAAAAAAATGAAGAAGAACAAAATGAAACTAAAAGGAAAGTTTGAGGCAGTATGTCAAAATGTAATGTATCAATCTGTATTTTAAAATGTATTATAACATCGTAATCCTGCTAGAAATCCCCCTTTTTATTTTGTATCTACCTTATAGCGTCTTTTTACGTCACTGTAAGAGAATACAGTTCCTATTTGTTGTAACATGATCATGTAATCCATTACTCCTTTCAGCTGGTCATAAATAAGCATGTGGTAATCAACATGTGAGCCGTCATGTGATAAAAATAAACACGCAGAGTACAGTACAGCATGTGTGGTTCCTCTCTCTATCTATCCCTCTCTGTTTGTGTCTGAATGCCTCTTTTCATCGCTGGTTATTATATTAAAGCATGAATTAAAGAAGGTCTCAGTCCTTCTCTAACTGTCCGTCTCTCTTCTTCTTCTTCTTCTTCTCTCTTCAGTCTCACAGCGCGGTATGCAAGTCCTCCGGGCCACAGTGGGTTAGGGTCACCACAGAAGAAAAATACGAGGTAAATATCACAAATGAATCCCTCATATATACCTCCTTTATTTGGTGTTTTTATCTGATTCTAAAACGTTCTTTGTGCATGAACCTTATCCTTCATGTAACTGTCCTTAATGTGATTTTGCGTAATGTTATCATGTTTTTGTTAAAAGGTCAGGGTCAACGAGCTTTCTGTAGAGTCAACTAGTTTGTTTTGACCATTAAATGTGTTCAGTCAGACAACTCGCGTGTTTCTTAATTGAGTTAGATAACTATCCCCCGAGCCTACAGGTGGAATCTGGGGTGGAAGCTGGGGTGGAAGCTGGGGTGGAAGCTGGGGTGGAAGCTGGGGTGGAAGCTGGGGTGGAGCTGGGGGGAAGCTGGGGTGGAGCTGGGGTGGAAGCTGGGGTGGAGCTGGGGTGGAAGCTGGGGTGGAAGCTGGGGTGGAAGCTGGGGTGGAAGCTGGGGTGGAAGCTGGGGTGGTGGTGGGGTGGAAGCTGGGGTGGAAGCTGGGTGGTGGTGGGGTGGAAGCTGGGGTGGAAGCTGGGGTGGAAGCTGGGGTGGAAGCTGGGGTGGAAGCTGGGGTGGAAGCTGGGGTGGAAGCTGGGGTGGAAGCTGGGGTGGAAGCTGGGGTAGGAAGCTGGGGTGGTGGTGGGTGAGCTGGGGTGGAAGCTGGGGTGGAAGCTGGGGTGGAAGCTGGGGTGGAAGCTGGGGTGGAGCTGGGGTGGAAGCTGGAGTGGAAGCTGGGGTGGAAGCTGGGGTGGTGGTGGGGTGGAGCTGGGGCTGGTGGTGGGGGTGGAAGCTGGGGTGGAAGCTGGGGTGGAGCTGGGGTGGAAGCTGGGGTGGAAGCTGGGGTGGAAGCTGGGTGGTGGTGGGGTGGAGCTGGGCTGGTGGTGGGGTGGAAGCTGGGGTGGGAAGCTGGGGTGGAGCTGGGCTGGTGGTGGGGTGGAAGCTGGGGTGGAAGCTGGGGTGGAAGCTGGGTGGAGCTGGGGTGGTGGTGGGGTGGATGCTGGGGTGGAGCTGGGGTGGAAGCTGGGTGGAAGCTGGGGGTGGAGCTGGGGTGGAAGCTGGGGTGGAAGCTGGGGTGGAAGCTGGGGTGGTGGTGGGGTGGAGCTGGGCTGGTGGTGGGGTGGAAGCTGGGGTGGAAGCTGGGGTGGAGCTGGGCTGGTGGTGGGGTGGAAGCTGGGGTGGAAGCTGGGGTGGAGCTGGGGTGGTGGTGGGGTGGAAGCTGGGGTGGAAGCTGGGGTGGAAGCTGGGGTGGAAGCTGGGGTGGAGCTGGGGTGGAAGCTGGGTGGAAGCTGGGGTGGAAGCTGGGGTGGAAGCTGGGGTGGTGGTGGGGTGGAAGCTGGGGTGGAGCTGGGGTGGAAGCTGGGGTGGAAGCTGGGGTGGTGGTGGGGCAGGTGAGTAGCATTAACATGAAACACAGCAGCAGGAACATGAACGTAGCAATAGCAAGTGAACACAGCAGTGGCAGCAGCAGCATAGCGAGGCAGAGGCAGGAAGACCTGGCAGCTTCAATAGAGCGGCATGTTTAGGAGAATGTGTTTGCTTGGTTGTAAGAGGGACGAGGTGCGTCACGTGTTAATGTATCATTGGTACTTGAGTTGACTGCCTGAACTAGCTCGCAGGCTTCGCCCCATTTATGACCTGGCTCAAGAGGCCACAACAAAGAAGAGACACACCATATCAACGGTTAATAAAATATGTTTATTAAAGCAAGTAATTCAAATTAGCCAAATATATTAAGTGCAAAGTGAGTAAAGTATGAGGTGTGGACGTCAGTGGTATCAGTAGTGTAAAATGTGCAAGGTGAAGGTTGCATGGACGCGTATGTGTGAGGGTGTTGAGGTGCACAAAGTGAAGCAACTGAAGTAACAAATAGCATACTCAACAGAACCGGGTGCCTGTAGGGGAGAGCAGGGGAGACCGGGGGTGCGTCTCACTTCGGTTATTTTTCATTTCCTCGCTCCTCGGGCTCGGTATCACCGGAAGTTGATTTGTCTGCGCCATCTTGAGTAGCGTCCCAGTGGCCTTATTTTGCCGGAGGACCGAGGATCGAGGAGTGATAACGGAGGAGCGATAATCGAAGAACTACCAGACCATCCTCCGGTGAAATCCTCAGAGACTCGCCCCGCCCCCTTACTGTTTATCGCTCACTGATTGGACGATGCAGCGGATGCACTGATCTGGCTGCTGTCAGACGATCAGCTGTGCGGCGTCATCACAAACGGACGTCGCTTCACGTGACGCTCCGGAGGAAACGACGTCCCATTGCTCTTAAAACTCATTTCCCTGCTTCTCGTGGTTTCCTTGCGTCTCTCCATGCTTCCCTGGTGGGAGGGACTAGTCGCCATTTAACCAAAGTGAGATGCAGCCAGAGAGGAGCAGAGAGGCTTTAAATCAAATCAAATCAAATCAAGTTTTATTTATAAAGCACATTTAAAAGCGATTTTTGGTCAAGCCAAAGTACTGTACATGTACTAAAAACACATTACTACAATCACAATAAAAGACAATAAATTACAACAGATATATAAAAAACACAGGGAAAAGTCAGGAGTCGTGCTCCGCTCTGACTAGAAGGCCAGGGAGAAGAAGTGTGTCTTAAGAGTAGATTTAAAAACCCCTAGGGTCTGGGCCGACCTCACATGGAGGGGCAGAGTGTTCCAGAGCCTCGGGCCAGCTGCTGCGAAGGCTCGGTGCCCTCGGGTTTAAATAGCTGCAGGGCACCAGACCCAGGTGCCCTGAGTTACTGCAATCAAGGCAGGACACAGCACAGCCACACCCTCCCCAGTGGAACCCACAGCATCACAAATGCCAAAAAGAAAAGTTAAATAGTTGAAAACACAAAGGTTAAGTTAATTGTCTTTTTTGGGGTGATGTTTGACAGTTTCACGGTCACTTTGTAGCCTGTGGTATCTTTTAAAAAAGGTGGATTTGAGGAGAATTTGTGAACCTCACAACCTGCATACTGAAGACCTTGGTGGCAAAACATTTGGCAGAAGAAATAATCAGTTTGTCCTCTTCCTCTCCTCTTCATCCTCACTGTGTCTGATACTCTTTCTCTGTCTTAAAACCAACAGCAGAACTTACATCACATTTCCCTTTCAAGCTCCATTTTGCTGATGCATTATCAAACATGTATTTTGGAAGATGAAAGAATTGTATGATAAAAGGAACTCCCTTTGATTTCCATTTGAATTGCCTCAATCTCAGCCTCACTTCTCCTCACTGTTTACCTCTCATTTTCTCTCGTCTGGCTGCAGTCGCTCCCTTTCTGCATCCATTAGCTTCTCAGTCAACTCTCTCTTTCATGTCATCTTCGTTTTTTATCATTTATTGTTCGGTCGCTCACTCTTCCCCTTGGTGATTGATTGTATCTTTACTTACATATTTCCATTGTATGCTATTGGCTAGAGCTCCAACACATTGTACGTGATAGGCTAAGGGGCGGGACATCTCTAAGCGGTTCACACAATCACAACAGAGCCGGCCAGCTAACCAATCAGAGCAGACTGGGCTCTGGTTTCAGACAGAGGGTGAAAAGAGGTGCTGCAGCACAGACAGTATGAGAAAAATAAAGACCTTTTTGAACATTAAAGCATGGAGACATGTCCCAGGAGAGACACTACATACTAATATACACCTGAACATCAGCAGGAGAGGACTCTTTAAAGTAGAGACACTACATACTGATATACACCTGAACATCAGGAGGAGAGAACTCTTTAAAGTAGAGACACTACATACTGATATACACCTGAACATCAGCAGGAGAGAACTCTTTAAAGTAGAGACACTACATACTGATATACACCTGAACATCAGCAGGAGAGGACTCTTTAAAGTAGAGACACTACATACTGATATACACCTGAACATCAGGAGGAGAGAACTCTTTAAAGTAGAGACACTACATACTGATATACACCTGAACATCAGCAGGAGAGAACTCTTTAAAGTAGAGACACTACATATTGATATACACCTGAACATCAGCAGGAGAGGACTCTTTAAAGTAGAGACACTACATACTGATATACACCTGAACATCAGGAGGAGAGGACTCTTTAAAGTAGAGACACTACATACTGATATACACCTGAACATCAGGAGGAGAGGACTCTTTAAAGTAGAGACACTACATACTGATATACACCTGAACATCAGCAGGAGAGAACTCTTTAAAGTAGAGACACTACATACTGATATACACCTGAACATCAGCAGGAGAGGACTCTTTAAAGCAGATACACTACATACTGATATACACCTGAACATCAGCAGGAGAGGACTCTTTAAAGTAGAGACAATACATACTGATATACACCTGAACATCAGCAGGAGAGGACTCTTTAAAGTAGAGACACTACATACTGATATACACCTGAACATCAGCAGGAGAAGACTCTTTAAAGTAGAGACACTACATACTGATATGAAGCTGGAAATGAGCAAAATAGGGCCCCTTTAAAGAGTCCGTGAGACAAAAATAAAGTTGACATGATTTGTACTTGTGGTGCGTTTGATAGTGAAGGAGAAAAATCAGAAAGTGAATCAAACACAGTTAAAGTTCATCAGAGATAATTCGATTTGACAAAGGAATAACTTTTCAATCAAAGCTACATGTCAATTTCTGTTTATTTCGTTGTACTATGTTGAGGTATTAAAGACACAATGGAAGATATGATGGAAGCTACTTTAGCTTCGACCACTTTAAAAGAAATTCCCCTTCGACATCTGGCCTCCATCTGCATTCAAGCGACATTTTCAGCATGACAAAACGATCATCTGTGTTTAAGGACATCAGGACAGCTTTCAGGCAGGGAGACAGAAATATGTTATACTTTATTCAAGGTTTTTTTTGCCCTCTTAATATTGACAAAGACCAGGCTATGAATGGAATCACCCACGGCCTTTTCTGATGCATTCAGGGTTTCATTCAATGCCTGTTTTTCTACTTGTACTGCCACCTTGTTCCCTTCTTTCTGTCAGCTGCAAGGTTTGTCTTTAATTTGGCTTTAATGCAGTCGAGTAACAGGATGCAAACAAGCAAAAATAACAAGATTTGGATGAAGGAATAATAAAACAATAATGCATCAAATGTAATCTCTGGAATCAGTTCATACAAATCACATCAAACCATAATAGTAAAGATTAAGGGTTGGATATAAATTGTTGTGGTAAATCTTATTATGATCCTTGCGGCAGATGCCAAATCTGACTTACTTACAAACAGATGGGTGAAAGCATCTGGCAAAAGGGCATCAAAATTGCAATGTAAAGTTATTGTACGATAGCAACAGGATTTTGATGAGATAATTCTTTCAGTGTTCTCATGAGGGTCGTGAAAATCCTCCAGCTGCAGCGTGGCAAATCAATATTTGACACTTCACGGCTTTGACTCTGTCGAGAAAAAAAGTGTGAAAGAGAGTAGAGAGAATAAAAACAGCCTTTGGTAGACAAACGAGTAAACATGTAGGAGGAATAAAGAGCTGTTATATGTTCTCCTACTTCTATGTTTTACTTTTACACCAGTAATGGCTTCAGGTATATAAATCAAGCTGCTATGAATCAAACTTTCCGATCTATATTCTCTTACATAGCTTCATAGTTCACTTCCTTCGTTCTTTCTCAACACACAGGGGAACACACACTGTCTTCAAGCTCTCAGGCTTCATCTTACATCACTGACACATACTGAGCTGCTGTTGAGACAGAAATGTTGTAATCTTACATATTCTTAAGGTGATAGTAATGTGAAATTCAGGTCCGAGTCAATATCTTATTCGTTACTCCTTAGGTCCAAAAATGATTACCTCAGTTTTTATCTTTGTTTAATTGAATATAGTTCTGACACATCCAATCATTCATGTGTTACTCAATGAGTAGTTGGAGAAGTGGTTATGTAAATTCATCGTCTGCATAGCTATGGTAATTTATCTTGTTGTTTTCCATTATCTGAGCAAGTGGAAGCATGTAGATGTTAAAGAGAAGAGGCCCCAGGATGGAGCCTTGAGGAACTCCGCATGAGTTTGTCAACTTTGACGTGATGCTACCTTTCCTACGTTTTTCCTACGTTTTTCCTGCCCTAAAAGTAGGATTTAAACCAATTAAGAACTGTGCCAAATGGAGCCCTTTTTAAAGCAGATTTTTTTTGTTGATTTGCCCATTAAGATGACAAACCAATTCGTCAATTGACAGAATACTAAGGACTCACTGTTTTGATAACGGATTATTCGTAAAGTGATTTCTCATGAAGAAATAGTGAATATTTTTAGGTTCTTGACAAACAAGATATTTAAGGACATTGCCTTGGACTTGGACCAACTGTAGAGTGATCAATTATATAATTATTGTTTGCAGAAAAGGAACAATTACAACAAAAAATGCCTTTCTCCACAAGCAAAGCTGCTCTAAAGGCAGGTCAAGTTAAATCTCAGGTGGATGCAGACAACACACAGAAGAACAAATAATTGTTTCTTGCCAATACATTTAGTCATGTAGACTTTTTATAGTCCTTAAATTGATGTATCCTCACACCAACCCCTCTGTTTCAGGTTACCGGGCCCCTCCAGAGTTCCTGCTGCAGGCAGCGGGGCCTCCAGGAGTTCGGGGTCCTCCAACCTCAACCGTCGCAGCCAGAGCTTCAACAGCATCGACAAGAGCAAACCTCTTCAGTATGCCAGCGGAAACGACAGAGGTGAGGACGCCATATCTGTGATCTCTGTAGCATGATGTGAAAGATAGATAGATAGATTCCTTTATTGTCACTACACAGAGTACAGCGAAATTCCAAGCACTCCCGATGGTGCAATCACACATAACAGACAGTATAAGCATCATTTTGACAATACAAGCTAAAAACGTTTAATATTTAATATATAAAGTGACTATAAATTGGACCTATGATACATTGAACAGTATGCTTACAAAACAATACAACATTACCATACAAATACAAGAACAACACGGTCAAAATGTAAACAAGTCAGTAAGTAAGTTATTGCACATGTATTTATCAGTGCAGTTGATAATTACAAAACTACAAAGGTCATTCAAGAGGCTATATTGTCATGTGCATAGTAGCTACAGTGTAGATATGGCAATGGAAAACATAACCTGAATATATATAGGACATAAAACCAATAAAACTAATAAAATAGTGCAAGAGAATGTTTTGAGATGTGCAAGTAAATACAAAAAAAGGTGGAATAATTATGCAGATCCTTCACTAAGCAAAAGTGTAAGTCCTGCTTTAAAATGTTACTTCAGTAAAGGTAAGTATACCTAGAAAAACATCTTAATTTTTAAGATGAATGTAGTGGAGTAATAAGTATAATATTTCCCTTTGTAGTGGAGTAGTCCACACTTTTTAATGTATATATCATATTTATATTTTATTTAAAGCTCTTTTTTGGAGTAGATTATTCTCTTATAGTGTTTTCTAAATCATACACACACTATGTTCATTTTTGTTTACTCTTATCCATTTCTTTATTTACATTCTGCTTAACACATTTTTTTCTCAATTTGTGATCTTATCAAATCTTATCTAAAAGGACACACAAACAGTACCGGTGCCTCAAATATTCAATTAAGTACAATTCCTGAGTAAATGCACTTTATTACATTCTTCCACTGCATGATACAACACACACTTTAACATTCCCTGAAGCTCAGACGGTGTGTAGGTGTTGATGGTGACCACTTGGTGGCAGCGCTGACTCAGACAGACTCTCTCTCTCTCCACTCTGCTGAATCATCCCCAGATCTTTCCTCTGACAGAGATATATAACGGATTCTATTGAGCGTGCAAACATTAGAAATGACCGGAGGGGGAAATCCATGCAGCTGCTGTGTCTGGCATGATACAGCTAATCAGAGTCATTACGCTTTGTGAGAGGAGTTAGAGCGTAAGGCTGTTTATTTAACACCTAATCGACTATTCACAACAAATAGTTAATCAACAGCCCTTCTGCTATCTGCTCACATAGCATTAATCACAGGAGTCAGGTACGAGAATGGCCAATTTTGTCCCTTCTCATTTTTAAAAGTACAAGAGAACATCTCCAAAACGGGTGCTATTTAGAATATGTGACACATTTGATAATAGGTCGGCTACTCTAAAAATAAGATGTACTTTATTAATCCCAGTGTTTTTTGTTGCAGCAGCATACATCAAAACAAGGCATTGCACATACTCCCAAATTAAAAGAGTAGAAATAAACAATTCTAAAATATAAACATCTCAAAATAGACATAGAAATATATAATGCACTTTTCTTTTAAAGTATGTAGCTAGATCAGGGGTGTCAAACTCAATTTCATCGCGGGCCACATCAGCATTATGGCTGCACTCAAAGGGCCGGTTGTAACTTTAAGACTATATAAAAATAAATATATAAATATATCATACATATAAAATAATGTAGTATATTACATTATTTTCCTCTGCATTGGATTATTATCGGATAGGGTAATAACTTCATAATTAACTACGTCTGAAAGCAGAAGTCTAGGGGAAATAATTGCAAGTCTCTTCAGTGAGAATGTCACAAAATGATTTAAAAAGAAAAGCCAAATTCTGGAAAAAAAGTGAAATTTTGAATAAAAGAACTGACATTTATTTTAAAAGAAGTAACATTTGGTAAAAAAAGTAACATTTGGAGAAAAAAAAGTAACATTTACAAAAACGATTCTAAAAAAAAATATATATTTAGAAGAAAAAAAGTCAAATTCTGAGAAAAAAGTCAAATTTGAGATGCATTGTGGGACATGTAGTTTATGGGCAACGTGCTTCTGTAAATCGGCATGTAACCGTATAATAAACGTATTATTCTTTGCAAGCTCTTGTGGGGCTACATAAAATGAAGTCACGGGCCGGATTTGGCCCCCGGGCCTTGAGTTTGACACCCCTGAGCTAGATACTCATATACACACATATATACTCCTGGCAAAAAGCATTAAAGTTCCCCTTTAAAAGCATTTTTCCAGTCCGTGGAGCTGAGGGAGGATCAGTAGGACGTGATGGAGGTGAAGAAGAGATGCATTTAGACGTTGGTGTAAAAAACAAATCAACAATACTTTTAACCGACAGAAAAAGGGACAAAACAACAAACAAATAAATCATCAGGCAGCTTTTCCTTTTCCCTCGCTTTAACTCCTACAATTTGACTCACTTACGTTTTGATTGAGACAGAAATGGCAGTCCAAGAATTGTGATAAATGCTATCGAGAAACTGAATGTAATAGTCCTGTGCTTAAGTGTTCCAATGTGTTTATTGTTCAGTAAACCGCATCATAAATGTTTCAATCGATCAGTTTCATCTCAAGGTTTTTTTTAGTGTATTTGTCCTCCTCACACTGCAGCAGACCGAGCTTCACTTGGCAGAGATAAGACTCGCTGCAGGGGAGATGAAACTGCGTTTTGGTCCAAAGTAAAAGTAAAATAAAAATCAATTGTGGGTAAATGTCAGCAATGCAGACAAAACCTTGTGGGCAGAAACAGAAACCGAGAGCAGGAGAGAGTGAAACAGACACAGGATGTTTCCCCCCCCCCCCCCCCCCCCCCATCTTCTTTATTTATCTTTCTCATGTTTTTAATCTTTTATTCCATCATTTTGACGACAACTAATCAATTTTTTAATTTGAAGAGGATAAAAGGAAGTGTCTTGACAGAAGAACTTCTCATTTATTTGTTATATGTTTCTGGTGCTTCTGTCTTGATTAATAACCTCACAAAAAACGTCATTTAAATTTAGAAAATGGTACCATTAACTGTAAAACAACGCTAAAGCAGCATATGGATTAGGGCGGGGCTAGTTTATGATTGACAGGTGGCTATCACAGTGAGCAGGGCTGACCCTGGCCAACATGAGGCCCCACGCAAAGTTATATGATGAGGCCCTCTGTATCGCGAGCGTCGTCGTCGACGGGGGGACGGGTGCTAGTGGAGCCGTGCCGCGCCACACTAATTGCAGCGCATACTGTACTGTAGGTGCGCCGCATTTTCGGCTCCGTTGAGGCACCCTCCGCAAGGTGAGGCCCCCTCCGCAAGGTAGGGAGGGACGGCCCTGACAGTGAGAATTAATGCTGTGTTTCAATGCAGATTTGATGAATTAAACAGGAACAGATGTAGTTGTGTTACACTCAGTAAAGAGGTCTTTATTTGTGTTTCTGTTCCTGCACGTACGGCCTTTTGGGACTGAAGTAAACACATTAGAGTTACTTTGTCTCAGGATTAAAGCTTTTACCAAGTGCATAAGCTGTCTTGTTGCCATGCGACTAACGATTATCAGATATTAATTGAAGCACCAAAAAGGGCACGTTTGTTAAATTGGACCAAAGGACGTTGGTGATAGCTCTCCTCGTTGAAAGGAATGAGGATGAAGAGGCAAACTCGGTGAAAGCTGAACGAAAATGTGCAATATTAATAATAATGTTCTATAATAACGTGCAATTAGGTATCTGCTACGATGTCTTTTGGCCCTAATCAATCATTCTTATCACTGTACAGTTTTTTATATTATTTATTTGACCGTCTATGTTTTTTGTAGTTATTTAATTAGCTCTTTTTTCTACACTGTTACTGTACAGTTTTATTATTATGATGCTGTGTTTATTGTATCGTTGTAACTCTGGCACAAACATTTCCTTTGGGATAAATAGAGTCCTATCTTATCTTATCGTCAATATACACACACACACACACACACACACACACACACACACACACACACACACACACACACACACACACACACTATGATAATGTCCACTGTGTACAGGATATTAGAAGTGACCCAACAACCCATTTATTTTTATAAATGTGAGTGTTATTAACAATAACTATATATATCATTAGCTAATTATGAAAGCACATGAACATAGTCATAATATCTGTAGTTGCACACAGCGAGTATCACAAAGGGTCCACCAACGCCCAGGAGAAACTGCATGTCATCCTTGGCCGCTGAGGCGAGAAAAAGAAAAAAAAAAAAAAAAGAGAAGAGAAGAAGAAGAAGAAGAAGAAGAGGAGTCTGTTACCATGGCAACAGCATGTGGTGAAAAGTGTGGTAGGCGCTGCAAAAAAAAAGCCTCTGGGGCTGGGCAAGGAGGAGCAGGCAGGATCTCTAAAGATGGGGTTAATTGAGTGGACACAAACAGACACACACACTGACACACACACTGACACACACACTGACACACACACACACACACACACACACACACACACACACACACACACACACACACACACACACACTGACACACACACTGACACTCACACAGACACACACACAGACACACACACTGACACACACACACACACAGAAACACACACATGTTTTTGAAACGTCTTTGATTCACATTGATAACCTGCCCTGAGGGTCTGTGAAGACGGGGTAAAAGAGAGGACAAACACACATGCACACAGGACAAGATGCTCCCCTATCCATGTCTTAATCACTTTCAGATGGCCACACACAGACACACACACACACACATACCATGTATACATCACTTCCGGGGACATTACATTGACTTACATGCATTTCATGGAGACTTATCCTAACCTTAACCAACACATGCCTAACCCTAACCAAGTCTTCACCCTAAAATTAATGATTCCCTTCATGGGGACCTCCATTTTGTCCCCATAAGGGAGGCGAGTCCCCACACGTGACTGTGTAAACAGATTTAGGTCCCCACAAGTATAGTAATGCTAGGCCACACACTGACACACACACACACACACACTGACACACTGACACACAGAAACACACACATGTTTTGAAACGTCTTTGATTCACATTGATCACATGCACACAGGACAAGATGCTCCCCTATCCATGTCTTAATCACTTTCAGATGGCCACACACAGACACACACACACACACACACACACACACACACACACACACACGACTGATTGGTGATTACTTGCAATAGTCATGACAGTTTCCCAACCTGTGAACTCCTTCCAGTAAATCAGTGTCCGTTCATTTGAATCTGCAGACACAAATATTTCTCATACAGGCAGGAGGAGATTATACTATTTAACTGATGGATAAACTTCTCACATGCACTCTTACTCTTTTTTGAATGCTTGAATATATAAAATATTTGCATGCATAGACACACACACATGATACACACCAACTATGGAGAATCAGTCTTTAGGTTTAGAGAAAGATAAAAAGGAGGTGGTGGCTTCTGTAGTCAACCCTAGATAAACAAAACACTATTTCCTGTGTTGAGTTCTGTAATTAGAAAAAGTGCTTTTTTTAACCAGAAAAGACTGTAGATCTCCGCCATACAGACTTTTCTTTGGATGTCAGTGTTTGAGACGAAACGTTTGGCAGGCAACTGACAAGGTAAGGTTTGATTTAAGCCAAGCCAATTGCCAGAAAGGAGCATACTGTCATAAATAAACAAAAACAATGTCAGTTTGATGGGTCCAGTATTTATCAGGGATTACCTGAGGATGGACAGACACGTGGGCACGGACAAAAGTAGAAGAAATCTCAAGAGAAGGGATGTCATTCCCGGCATGAACAGGCGTATAACAGATGTTGTGTGAACAGAATAAACAACAGAACATAGACACTATATAAGTTTCAGTCAGTCAGTTGAGGCTTTTGTTTGTTTTTCTATCCAGCTGGTTTTGTTGGATTGTGTCCTGAAATTGTCAGCAAGATCTTCATTAGAGGGCCCATGTCATGCTTTTCCAGTTATTACCCGTCCCCTTGTGTGTTATGAAGGTTTTTATGCATGTAAACGGTCTGCAGAGTCACAAACCCTCAAAGTACACCCTGTACCGAGTAAAACTCTAACATAGAAAATACCTCCCCAAAACGCCTCGTTGGAGATACGTCACTGTCCATTTGATTCTTCCATTTCGTTCCGGGTACGGCATGATGTCAAGCCGTACCCGGAACGAAATGGACCAATCCGTGGAGCCGTTACGTTACGTCCGCGGAGCCGTTACGTTAAGCCCCCGCTGATTGGTCCAAATTGACCAATCCACGGACTTCCTCACACACACATCTGTGTGCAGACAGTTGGGATCGCGGAGAAATTCTCTCTGCAGACCCATTCTCACAGCGTTTATCAACCTTTTTCTTACTCAATATCAAGCCACACTTATTGTTTTTACTTCGGCTGTGACTTTGTGTGTGCTCAGGGTGAGTTTGGCTGTGTATCACTAACAAGGAAACAACACCTCCACGGAGCTCAGCGCGATTCACAACGTCCCGACCAATCAGAGCACACTGTGCTCACAGGGAGGGTGGGGCCTGGAGCTATTGGAGCTACAACGAGCCGTTAAAGGCAGAGAGTGAAATTCAGTGAATACACGTAGTTTACAGAGATGCTGTATGAGAAACCAATGTGAGTTTGGAAAATTGCACAATATAAATCTATTCTAGTAGACCTCAACAATGGAATTATGATCAGTGGAAATGGCCATGACATGAGCCCTTTAATGCCCAAAAGCATCAGGTGCCAGTGGTTTCAAAGAAATTGTAGTGAATAGTCTCACATGCAGAGTCCTCCCTATAAGAGTTGCCCACAGTTGTACCCTCTTCCTAATAACCATGGAATCATAGTTTTTAATCACCTGTCCCTCTCTTCTCTCCTGCTCCAGAGGCGTTGAGGGGGATCCCGTTGCCGGGCGGGATGAACGGGAGCTGTTCTGGCGGCGGCTCGGTTCCCAGTAGCCTCAGCGGTCAGCAGCTGATCTCCTCCTCCATCCCCTCGCCAACCAAATCCTGGAGAAGCAAATCCATGAATCTGAAGCACAGCGCCACCTCCTCCATGCTCTCCAGCCCCACGCTCTCCCCCTCCGAGGCCCCTGAAGCCCTCCATGATGGGTCAAAAGTAGGCGGTGGTGGGCATCATCAGAGGTCAATGTTGGAGAAGTTTCGCTTGATTAACCCCAGATCGGCGTCTCGAGCGTCTCCATCTGTGGCGGAAATGTCTCTTGAGGAGGAAGACGATTTGTCGGAGTACGGTGAGGACGGATTTACGAATTTGGCGTGCAGCGGTGGAAGTAGTTCTACAGCAAATCAGATATCAACAAAAACCCCATCTCCATCCATCACTGCACCAATCAAAACGTCCCCTTCTTCTTCCTCCTCCTGCTCTAAAGCCAATAATAGCGGCAGGACAGGAGCATCCTCCAAAGACAGGGAGGACAAAAGCAGCAGCAGATCTGGACAGAAATCTTCTAAGGACAGTTCTTCGCCCAAAGAGGAGTCGTCGCCCACTGACGGGAACAAGAAGAACTCCAAAATCGCCAGTCTCATCCCCAAGGGAGGGAAGCCTTCAAAGAAAGATGGCGGCAACTCTTCAAGCGGCATCCCCAAGTCAGGACTTAAAGCTCCTTCCTCCTCTTCCTCTTCATCTTCCTCCACCTCAACGACGGCCAAGCCTCAGAGTCAAATGCCGAGTCAGAGTCCGGCGTTACACAGCAGTGGGAACCTGAGAGGAGGAGAGGCCGACAGAGGAAAGATGACTAAAGGAGGGCAGGGTGGGAGTTTCTATATCCAGCGATCCAGCGGGGGCTCAGAGACAAAAAGAACCAGTTTGACCTCCTCCACCAGTACCTCTGCACTTTCTGGTTCCCTTGGGATGCTGGGAGGAGGAGGAGGAGTTGGAGGAGGAGCGCTCGGAGGGAACGGAGTAGTTCAACTTCCTCAACAACAGCAGCACAACCATCCAAACACTGCCACTGTGGCCCCCTTCATGTACAGGTGAGACGTGTGTGAGTGTGTGGAACGGTTACTTAAAGAGGCCATATTATGCTGATGTTCAGGTGTATATCAGTATGTAGTGTCTCTACTTTAAAGAGTCCTCTCCTGCTGATGTTCAGGTGTATATCAGTATGTAGTGTCTCTACTTTAAAGAGTCCTCTCCTGCTGATGTTCAGGTGTATATCAGTATGTAGTGTCTCTACTTTAAAGAGTCCTCTCCTGCTGATGTTCAGGTGTATATCAGTATGTAGTGTCTCTACTTTAAAGAGTCCTCTCCTGCTGATGTTCAGGTGTATATCAGTATGTAGTGTCTCTACTTTAAAGAGTCCTCTCCTGCTGATGTTCAGGTGTATATCAGTATGTAGTGTCTCTACTTTAAAGAGTCCTCTCCTGCTGATGTTCAGGTGTATATCAGTGTGTAGTGTCTCTACTTTAAAGAGTCCTCTCCTGCTGATGTTCAGGTGTATATCAGTATGTAGTGTCTCTACTTTAAAGAGTCCTCTCCTGCTGATGTTCAGGTGTATATCAGTATGTAGTGTCTCTACTTTAAAGAGTCCTCTCCTGCTGATGTTCAGGTGTATATCAGTGTGTAGTGTCTCTACTTTAAAGAGTCCTCTCCTGCTGATGTTCAGGTGTATATCAGTATGTAGTGTCTCTACTTTAAAGAGTCCTCTCCTGCTGATGTTCAGGTGTTTATCAGTATGTAGTGTCTCTACTTTAAAGAGTCCTCTCCTGCTGATGTTCAGGTGTATATCAGTATGTAGTGTCTCTACTTTAAAGAGTCCTCTCCTGCTGATGTTCAGGTGTATATCAGTATGTAGTGTCTCTACTTTAAAGAGTCCTCTCCTGCTGATGTTCAGGTGTATATCAGTATGTAGTGTCTCTACTTTAAAGAGTCCTCTCCTGCTGATGTTCAGGTGTATATCAGTATGTAGTGTCTCTACTTTAAAGAGTTCTCTCCTGCTGATGTTCAGGTGTATATCAGTATGTAGTGTCTCTACTTTAAAGAGTCCTCTCCTGCTGATGTTCAGGTGTATATCATAATGTGTCACTCCTAAATGAAAGGAATCAAATCGGTTTCATAGTAAAGCAAAGAAAGAACGTTTTGCGCCACAATTGCTTGTATTTTTCTGGTTGTTTATTTCCTTCTGTCCTACACACATGGTTTTCTAGTCCTACCTGCACATCAAGACACAAGGAATATTCCTGTCTCTCTCTCTCTCTGATCAGCTGCTGCTTTGTGTTCATATTGCTCTCGCCTCCGCATCTCTTTCACAGTTATTACAGAACAAACACTCGCTGCCTGACAAGTGCCATGGCCTATTATTCAACTGTCTGGGTTTCATCTTTAAAGTAAGCAATCAGACTTTGGCACCAACTCTTCTCTGCATTCAACCGGTGTGACAGTATGTTGCATGTGACTCCCTGGTGTGACCGCCATCAGGAAGTGAGGTCAATCTGCCCAAAAGGGACGATTTTCTAGGTAATCCAGGGGGAAAGAAGAGGAGTCTCTGCGTTCAAGAGAAAGAGATTTAAAAATCCTATTAAACACGACTTAATCCTTCACCCCGTTGCTCCTCTCCGTCTCTGTTGTGCACCGTCAGCTCTGCCACACTGAGCGGTACTTTAATCCCACACATTTAGCCAGTTAAAACTGCTGCGTCCATTAATCCAGGGTTGATAGTGGCTGATAGTGGCAAACCTCAAACTAAAAGCACATGCAGCTCACATAATCACAAATAACTGTTGAAGTGAAGCAATATTTGAGTTGAAATGAGTGTCCTCTGTGCCGAGAAATCTCCTTGTGAGAACATTTCTTAAGATCTTTGTCCTCTTCTTATGCTGCAACACAGCCGACCCCCGCAGCGTGCAGACAGTAAACGTGCAGGCCTCCCTCGTGCTACAATTTACCATCATTTTCAGCCTAATTAAGCTTTTTTCTCTCGTTCGCTTTCTCTTGTATTCCCACCTGAAGTTGTGGCCTCTGCCAGGTTTATTGTGTGTTGGTTGATAGCACTTTGCTGCAGTCAGTGTGGTATGGTGCTCACACACACACAAGATTTTTTTAATGAGTCCTGGGAGCACAGAATATGTTAAAGAAACAGTTCATTTGATTACACTTACAAAATGTATATAGTACGTACTTTAAAAAAGGTTTTCTAAGCAGTGACATCAAGGAGAAATAGAGCTCAAAACAAATAATGGACTTCAACTGAGGCCATTAATTGACAGTTAAAGGTGGGGTAGGTAAGTTTGAGAAACCGGCTCGAGATACACTTTTTGTTATATTCCATGGAATGCTCTTAACATCCTGATAGCAATGTATATCTGAAGTGCTTTGACAAAAAATCCATAAAAAAAAGTCATCTGTTGAAGCCGTAGTACTGTAAAAAGCATGACCAATCATCTGAGCCGGCCCGGCTAAAATAACTGGATGGCCCACCTGCCTGTCAGCCTTCCATCTGTACACAAACTTATCTCGTGCCCTCATTGGTCATGTGCGCGTTCGTGTGTGTTGGAGGAGGGGCTCTGTAAGGAAGTGGCAGATTTCTTCCAGCTGTGTATTTTTAAATTCTAGCGATCTCGAGCCGGTTTCTCCAAAATTACCTACCCCACCTTTAAGGTGATGGAATAAACAAACATTTTTATTTTTGCTAAACAACACATTTTCTAGTAAAATAATTTGCATGTGCATCAAATTCCTTCACGAGGATCATCCAAAAAAAACATTGTTAGGCAATATTATACATAATACACACAAATACATACAAATCCGTTGTCAAATCCTGCAGGAAATTATTATTTTAGATGTATTTGAACTTGCTTGGCTCCCTTTTGGGTCAAATATTCCTTTTAATCGTTTTTTAAACAGGTTTCTTTAACAAAATGACCTTTCCTCGCATTTTTTTTATAGCGAAAGAGTGAATAAGACACTGAGCAGCTCTTCCAGGAAACACTCCCTTCATGGCTCCTTTGAAATGACTGTAATTAAGTTTAGCAGACACCTCCGCCTGTGTTTCTAACTGCTGTGTTGTTGTTTTTGTTCTTGATGCCTGCAGGACTTTCTCAGAGAACGACTGCACCATGATGGCCCCCGCAGAGCCCTGCCTCAGCCCCACCAAGGGGGAGCTGGTCTACAGCAAGACCGCCAAACAGTGCCTGGAGGAGATCTCAGGTACAACAGCTCAACAATGCATGTACATGTATGATGTGTCTGTGTGGGTTATACAGAGAGAGGGCAAAAGTACACACATCCTTTCCTCAAGTAGAAGTACAGATACTCGTGTTTAAAAATACTCTGGTAAAAGTAGAAGTACTGACTAAACTTCTTTACTCAAGTAAAAGTAAAGAGGGCTTTGAAATGTACTTCAGTAAAAAGTACCCATAACTAGCAGCTGTTTGAAAGAGTACCTGACCTCCCTTTATATTAATAGAACAATAATGTCATTGTTAGCTAATGAATGTTTCCATGCTGAACAACGGCAACATGACAACGTTTTCATTGGTCCCTCTTCTTTAGAGAAGACCAGGAAATGATGGATACACGGATCGTGTTCAAATCAATAGGCACGCAATGACTCTAAATAATAATGATCACGCCACCAAACACACATTCAAAGTAAAGGAACCAGCCTGTTTGGGAAATGTGAGAAGTAGAAAGTACAGGTATTTGAGTTCAACATGTAAGAAGTAGAAAGTACAGGTATTTGAGTTCAACATGTAAGAAGTAGAAAGTACAGGTATTTGGGTTCAACATGTAAGAAGTAGAAAGTACAGGTATTTGTGTTCAACATGTAAGAAGTAGAAAGTACAGGTATTTGGGTTCAACATGTAAGAAGTAGAAAGTACAGGTATTTGGGTTCAACATGTAAGAAGTAGAAAGTACAGGTATTTGGGTTCAACATGTAAGAAGTAGAAAGTACAGGTATTTGTGTTCAACATGTAAGAAGTAGAAAGTACAGGTATTTGGGTTCAACATGTAAGAAGTAGAAAGTACAGGTATTTGTGTTCAACATGTAAGAAGTAGAAAGTACAGGGATTTGTGTTCAAAATGTAAGAAGTAGAAAGTACAGGTATTTGGGTTCAAAATGTAAGAAGTAGAAAGTAAAAAGTCGTCAGAAAAATAAGTAGTGGAGTAAAGTACTGATACCAGAAACATGTACTTAAGTACAGTAACAAAGTATTTGTACTCGACTACTTCCCACCTCTGCCTCTGTCTGTTGAAATATGTCTCGCATAGGGATCTATTCAGCTTTTTGCCGCTGCTTCTAATTGAACTATTCATATCTCACACTGCACTGTAACTTTTATTCATGTACCTGTGTTATTCATATTTTATTATCTTTGCTTTTAAATGAGTGTTTTTAAATGCCATTTTATAATATGTTTCTGCTGCACTATTTCTTAATTCTCCTAATGTCTTTCATTTTTGTAAAGCACTTTGAATTGCCTTGTGTTGAAAGGTGCTATACATACACTTGCCTTGCCTTGCCTCATTAGGTGCAAGAGGACGATGCATTTACCCACTTTACGAAACAAGTGGTTATATTAACAGGGTTGTATTGTATAATTGATTAGCCCTACATTGTCACTACCACAAAGAGCAGTCTTCAGTGTTGAATAGTGAAGAGTAGCTGCAGGATGGGAGGTTTTTTTTTAAAGGCTGTGCAGAGAACAGTGCTCTGGTGTTTTGTATCTGTTATATTTCTTATTTTTAGACCACATAGTTGTGTGCAGTGATAGTAGGGGATCTCTCTGTGTTTGTGTGAATCCTCTGAGGTGAGGGGAGCTTGCAGGAAAAAGGCTTTCTGAAGTCAGGATGCTGCTGCAGGTGGAAGTCATTTTTATCTGCAGCTCTGCAGGTGGTGTTGGTGGACCCTGGAGTCTGTGTTTTGTACAAATGAAAACTGTAGAATAGCGTCTGTTTGCAAGCTTTGCTGTCTGATTCTTTTGTATGATTGTGTGGTTTAAAGGTGTCCTATCATGCAAAATGCACTTTTTGATGTCTTTTATACATAAATATGTGTCAGGAAACTCACAAAGTGTCAGAAAATAAAACCCTCTCTCTTTTCCTCCGTACCCAAATCTCTAAAAAACGGGGGGGAACAACGGAGCTGATCCAGATTTGCGTCCGATATGACGTAATATCTGAAATGTGGGCGGGCTTTACATCCACGGCACTATCAGAAACATTGCTATCAGAAACAATGCGCGACGCTTTGGACGTAATATGGTCTGTGTTTACATTAGCAAGCATCGCTAACACTCAGAGCTAACCTGTGTTTTTTTTTAAGTTAAAGGGGACCTATCATGCAAAATGCACTTTTGTACGTCTTTTCTACATGAATATGTGTCCCCGGTGTTCCAGGGAACTCACCAAGTGTCAGAAAACACAACCCTCTCTATTTTCCTCCATACCCAAATCTCTAAAAAAGGGGCTGCAACGGATCTGATAAAAACTGATCCAGATTTGAACACTGTCCTGACGTCAGGACGGTGGCGCTACGGCTATTGGGCCAACTCCACCAATCAGGAGGAGACAGCCACGGCATTGCCGTTCGAAAGCGCTGGAGACGCTGTAGTACATATGCCAGGCCTGTAGGTGGTGCTGTTCTCACTGAATCAGCTCTTGCTAAAACAGAGCTAAAAAATTTCAAATTGAGCAAAATGAGGCATGGCTAAAATGCATGATCTGTTTGGTATTTTGAAAAAAAAAAGTATAAATATGCCTTATATAGGTATGGTCCTACACTATATTATTAAAATATAGCATGATAGGTCCACTTTAAGAACCCAAAATCAGCTTTTCTCTAACAGGGCTGGAATAGAGGGATATGAGGGATGTCTAAAATGCATGATCTGTTTGGTATTTGGAGCAAAACACATCATAGACATGTTTTTTGATATTTTTCTTGATATATCTGAGACCCATAATATATGCCTAAAGATAGCATGATAGGAAACCTTTAAAGTTTGTTAGTTTGCATGCCTTTCGTTGTGTTTCTGTGTGTGTTTATTTGTGTTCACTGGGGGGAAGGGGGGTCCCTGCTCTGCGCTGGTTTCTTGTCTGGGAGGAAAAGGTCAGCGCTGACAGCTGGACTCAGAGACGCTGCAGGCTGCCATCATGTGTTCTCATCCAGACCCAGGATCAGTTCGCTCAGCGATGGCATTTGCAAAGTGTTACCTGACTTTTAATGGATATTTTGTATCCAAAGCTCCCAAAGTGCTACAGGTATTTAGACTACATAGTCAATTCACTTCACAGGAACTATACCGGAGCAGAAAACGTGTATATCAAAGTTGTTTGCATTTAAGACCCTCTGAAGACTCATGGTGAGGACATGGTGTAGCTCTCGATGGACACGTCGTTGTCAGATATTTCCTGATGCAGCCATGTTTCCGTAAACCACATTAAACTACACTCCAAATATTGCGTCTGAATCCTAGCTTACGCCGTTAGCTCGTCCATTTCTTTAGCAAGTTATCTTACGTTGCCCATGATGACGGGGGCTTATATCTCCTTTTCAATATAAATCTGGAGCCAGCTCTCCTTCTTCGTCTCTTTGGTTTATTCTGCATCCTCTGTGTCCTTTCCAGATTTCAGTGTGAGACTATGCTAACTGGATTTAGCGTGATTAGCTTCTCCCAGTGGCCTGGATGCACAACAGCAGCAACTCAACGGCAAAAACAAAAACTTAATCTCTCTACAAAATAAGTTTATAGGGGGCACAGCATATTATTTTACTCAGAAAATAAGTAAGATTAAATAAGAGCAAGTTGAAAATAGTACAAATCTAGCAGGAGCAACAGGTCGCAAGAACGATACGCTGCAACTACTCAGAAACCGGACTGTGTTCTCCAATACTTCCTACTATTTTATATATTAAGGTTTATAATGCGATTCAATTTCTTATAAAACCTGTACAACAGAAAGCTGCATACTTCCTGTTTGTGAAGCCTGCAAACGTCTTTATTGTGTTTTAATTACAGTCAGTGGCATCTGTGCTCCTGCAGCTGAGAGGTCAGGGACATTTTGATCCGTTTTAAGACGTTTTCTAACCACAAAGCTACATTCCTGACAGAGAGCCGGATGAGAGGTTACAACTGGAAATGCACAATCAAAAAAACATGATCCGCTGGCAGAGAGAAAAGCTTGAGTTTCAACTGCATCTCACCTTAAGAAAACAAAGATTGTCACAACTTAATATCTTTGCATTCATTCTATATGATAGATAGATAGATAGATAGATAGATAGATAGATAGATAGATAGATAGATAGATAGATAGATAGATAGATAGATAGATGGATGGATGGATGGATGGATGGATGGATGGATGGATGGATGGATGGATGGATAGATAGATGGATGGATGGATGGATGGATGGATGGATGGATGGATGGATGGATGGATGGATGGATGGATGGATAGATGGATAGATGGATAGATAGATAGATAGATTATTCAATATCAAATTGAATATGAATGTTGAATGTATCCGCTGTTTTAATCCTTTGGTCATAAAGTGTAGTGATAGAAGTCCCCTAAAAAATGCCCCTTTGGTAGATATATTGATTTCATCCTTGTAATAACAACAAAGGGAGTCAACATGGATGATAAATCACTCATGCCAGAAAAGGGATCGGGGCAATCTCCAGTGCACAAACAACAGCGTGATTACAGGTTTGGGGGATGTCAGGTCTGCAGTTTCATTCCAGACGTTTTGCTTTGGTTTGCCACTTTTCTGAAGACCGTCATTTGAAAGATGGAATTAGACAGCAGCCTTTGTTTGGGGTCCATTTCAAACACTTGCTTTCCTGTTGTCACACACTTCATGGCTGTTTCACATGCTTTGCTTTTCCAGCTCTTTGTCCAAACAGAGGCACAAATTAGCTACTGGGATGTAAATTCATGTGTGTGTGTGCATACAGTATACTGCAAATACCACATGACAAGCACACAATTGCCCACACTCAAATGTTTATTTAAGCATTTGTGAAATGATTTGTAGACAAGAAAGATTCTCAGAAGTAGTTTTGCTGATTTGATTGTTATTAAAGGGGTCCTATTCTGCTGATGTTCAGGTGTATATCAGTATGTAGTGTCTCTGCTTTAAAGAGTCCTCTCCTGCTGATGTTCAGGTGTATATCAGTATGTAGTGTCTCTACTTTAAA